TGTTTTTCTTTGTTTTGCATCGCTCAGTCTGGCAACACAGTAAAAATTGAAATGTCATATAAAATGTGACAGCATGCTAATATGTGGCTCCCAGAGGGCATCTGAAAGCGCTGTTGTTGATTTTGTAACTGCAGAGAGAGTCGGTATTCCTCTCATTTCCACCCCAGGAGGAGGGAGGAGGAAAGAAAAACAATTGGAAAAGCAAGGAATACTACAGGGGTGACACAAATTAAATTTCCAAAATCTGTACAAGAACTCGAGACAAAACAAAATTAAGCAGCGGATATCACCGCTGTAGCACAAATGTCAACTACAATGTTCTCGTACTTCTACGGGGGAAAAAAAAAAACGACATTATAACACCCTAAAAACATATTTGTTCCACATGTAAGTAACATAGTGATGGCAACAACATATCATATTTAATTAGTGAAATCAGAAAGGACAAATACAATCCAGGATTGTTGATAATAAACAATTGTTTAACAGAAGCTTTTTGACTTGCCCATACTTTGCCACACAGCTGAGATAAAAAAAAAAAAAATACACAATTGAACAAGGCTCCTAAACTCCAGTTGAACTCTAAGTAATGCAAGTGATTCAAATTTATCGGGACATAAAACAGCATAACAAATATTCTATTCAAGTCAGCGTCCCAAAATATATGTTCTCCTCAAACACTGTTGTACACTGATTTCCCTTTTTTTTTTTTCTTCCCATTTTTGAGACTCCGTCAGATTTTTTCTTCCTGATTGATCCAATTGCATGTTAATGTGTCACTTAAATGCTATTAAAATTTAAGATAAAGTAAAATGAAACAAATAAATACACGCCCTAGTTTTTGTAAGTGAATCTGTGCAGCTAGAAGTTGAGGACATAAGAAGGTCTTAACAGTTGAATATTTAATCTGAACAACATTTTAGGTATTTTTGATAACAAATCTACTCTGACACAAGAGAAACCAAGGTATAAAAATCCCTCCCTCTCCCCTGCCCAAAACTATTTAAAACAAATAATCTACTTTCTAAAAAAAAAAGTGCATCCTTGCATGTTTAATTTTTTTTTCTTTTTAGATTTTTAGGCAAAGTCTTACTTTTTATGAGTGAAATATTTTGGCTGCAAATGAAATGCAGCATAGAGTGCTTTTTATCTTTTATGGCAACCATTTAAATAGTCTGAATGGTTTCAGCAATAGTTTTTCACTGGCAAATATTCCAAGCATTGCAAACTTAGCAGAGAAGTGGGGAACTACAGATTTGATAACTTTTGGAGTTTAATAATGGCTTTTAGAGGTATCGTTAAAAAAAAAAAAAAAACACACAGGAAATTGCCCTTAAAGAGCATCTCTCTTTTACCAGGAAATGACAACATGGACTTGGAGTCTGTGTCAAAAAGCCTCAGATAAAACCAGGCAACTTGGCACCTTGCCAGTGCCACATGAAGGAAGCAGATGTTCCAAGTTTGTTTAATAGATAATTTATCCCATACATCTATTTCCCTCCCTCGCTCTTTGTCAAAACACATATCCGCTTAACTGAAGCACTGAGATGCACAGCATGTCTTCTCACACAGAGAAATACCACAATGACCCTATTTCTGCCCCTTGTGCTGCACCAAACACCAGAAGACTAAATAAATGACCATCAGGTTGAGATGCTTCTTGTGTTCCTTTTCTGTTTATATATATATATATATGTGTGTGTGTGTGTGTGTGTGTGTGTGTGTGTGTGTGCTAAAGGTTTCTCCCATAAAGCCAAAGTCAAACTCTAGTTAAGACTGTCAGCTGAAGGTGGGCCAGACACACACAATGCTCCACAGTGCTAATTAGTCTCTTCACCGAGTCAGGTCCCACAGCGAGGATAAATATACACATATGTAAAAATAATAATGCATAAAAAAAAGGATGGAGGAGAAGTGGGTTTAAAAGGAAAAGTCAGCGATGACGCCGACTTATTTTCAGTTTGACCTCTGCCTCATACCCTAAAGAGAGAAGTTTCTAGCTAGCGTTACGACTGCACGTGTCGTTAATGTGTCTGGTTGGCAGGAGGTTGCTCGCCACTGATCATCTTTACCCATCTCCCCGTGGAGCCTCTCATCACCTCCGCCACGCCAGCTCCTCTATCAGGCTCAAGGTCAGGCTCACACACACACACACACACACACACAAACGATCTCCTGATTAGCCCTTACCACACTACCCCTTCTGCTGCACGCTGCCCGACCCACACACCCACCCACCCCGCCTCACCTCTGTTCCCTTGCTCCTGCACTCTCCTTCCACCGTCCTTCCCAGGATCCGGCGTGGCAGGGTGTGATGAATGGGACATTATTACTCTTGTCCGCTGCTGACCTGATTTTAGCTCATCCACTTCTGTCTCGTCAGACTGTCTGTGTCTCCATGTCTGGCCTTAAAACATATGTTACTGCCTGACCTACCTCGAATCTATTTCAGTCACTTCCACAGTGAGAGTAGGTGCGACCTTTAGCAGGTTAAGAAAAGGCGCTTGCAAAAATATTTTTCACCTCAAACAAAGCATATTCATCTTTTAAGGAATTAAACGGGGTTAAGTAAAATGTGATTTATCTCTCCGCTCTCCAAAGGCGACAAACTTTGGCATACCTTTTATTGGATATGCACCCTCTGAGATACGAATGCAAGTAGAGGCAGATGTAAAAAAAAAAAAATAAAATAAAAAATCCACAGTCTGAAAACTTTGTTTTAGAAAGAAAAGAAAAAAAAAAAACAATAAGAATGAGAGTGCACAGCCACAAAGTGAGGGGATCACTTCTTCAAAAAGTAAATAAAATATGCATCCTCTCTGTGCTCATTACAGATTTATGACTCTTGTTAAAAGAAAAGGTGGCGGCTGCCTTCTTGCATGTCTGACTTTCAAAAATCAGACGACACCGCTGTCAAGTGTTGTGCTCCACATTCTGTCCAATGAGAGGCCGGGAGGGCTGAGTGTGTGCCATCTTCAGCATCCTGTGCAGCGAGAGGCGCGCAGAGACTTACTTTTCGGGCGGATGGGAGCACGGCAAAAAAAAAAACTCCTCACCTACCGTACGGGGAGCGTGCCGCGCAATCCTTTGATGCATACTTCATCAATGGAAAAGTTCAGCTGGTTCAGCCACTTTTCTGCGTGTGTGATTAAGAACGGCAACACTTGGGGGAGTAGACGTTCTTGCGTCAGGCATAATGAGCTTTGGGATTTGCAGTGATGACACGAAGTAGTTTTGCTGTTCATAAAACAACTTTAACCCAAAAAATAAAAAATTAAAAAAAAAAACGCACCCACAACCTTGTTGAAGTCCCCCCACCAACACGCGCACGCACACACGCACACACACACACACACACACACACACACACACACACATAGCGCCTTGCAAAAGTATTCACAATGCTTGGACTTTTATTAGCTTTGTCACTTTGAGATTTTAAATCACAGGCTAGCACATGGTTTAATTTTGAAGCGAAAACAAAGTAGCTATGTGGTTTTATTCTGTTTTTATGAAGACAATCTTAAAAGCATGAAAAAAGTAAATTCAGCTCTTTTTGCAGTGGTTAAGTATTGCTAAATCGCTGCCTTCAGACGAAATTAAAATATGTGCAGTTTTCCACAGGCCATGTAGGAGACACAGCAAACGTGTGTAAGACATGCTCTGGACAGACGAAACCAAATTGGATTTGTTTGACTGACACGCAAAATTTCATGTTGGGAAACTTAACACTGAACAAACATTCCTCGTGGCAAAACAACCTGGTGGTGGCAGAATTATGCTGTGGGGGAAAATTTTTTACATGTGGCAAACTTGAGACAAAGGTGAAGACATTTCAGCAGAACAATGACTCTAAGCATAATAGCCACAGACAACCTAAATGCTTCCGATCACATCATGGGCTTAAACGTTTGAGTCAAAGTCTAGAACTAAGTCCAAATGAGAAATCGAAGCCAGGGCTTAAAATGTATGTGCAAAGTCAGTTCCAATCTGTCTGAGCTTGGAGTTATTTGGGGTAGAAGAATGGGCAGAAGCCCATGTGCAAAACTGTTGGGAGACATAACCCAAAAGACGTTTAGACTGTGATGTCATTTGAGCAAAGGGAAGACAGTTTCACTGCAGGTAAATGAAAGTTTTTGCAAACTTGGTCTCATGTTACAAGAGCAGCTTCTTGTGTGTTTGCAGCAGCACTACCTGTGATGCTTGTGGCAAACTGCACCTGCATTTATTATGGCTGCCGTTCAACAAACCAGCTACTTGGATAAAGTTTATTTAGGGGCGTCAGTGTACTTCTTTGACTCTTATTTACAAAAACAAAAAATGAAAACCATGTATAGCTTTCCTTCAACTTTAACATAACGTGCGTTGGTCCCTCAAATAAAACCCCCAAATAAAACACGGTAATATCTGAGGGCACAACTGAAAAATATCTGAATGAATGTAAATGAATGTTTTTTTACAAGGAACTCGGGGAAGTATTTTAGTTTGGTTATATGAAAATTGTTTTAAGTTGCTTTATGTTTAATGCCTTAACTGCTATTCTTAGTGGAAATCATGTTATCCTTTTAACCACAAAAAACTATTGGTAAATGAAGCACTCAAAAACTGCTATTATATCAAAAAGACCACGTCACCTTCAATCAGCTGAACTCAGGAAACACATAGTCAAACCTCCGTCGACAGCTATTCCCCTACGTTAGAGAAGATCAGCAGGGAAACACGGACATTACACAAAAAGACACGAGCCGCTTGTCATGCTGGAGCCAACTTATCTCCCCCATCACCTTAAAGAGCAGGCACAGGCATGGCCCCGGCAGTGGGTCGGTGGGCCAAAACGTGCAGTGTGAGGAATGTCAAACTGAGACACGGACAGAGGACAGGTGCTGACGAGGACGGCCAACAGAGGCCGCCGGACAGACGATGAGCTAAGTGGCAAACTGGAAGACAGTAACAACACACCAGCAGGAATCCGTGCCAGAGCCACACACATGGCAACTTACCACCATCACTCGTATCCACTCAAAGTGCCAGGAGGCCAATATATCCTCGAGGATATGGTTTTTATCATGGCTGTCCTCCCAGGGGCCTTGTTTAGGGTCCTTGTGGATAGATTAGAGTGAAATTTTCTCTTTATAAGCCAAAGTAAATAAAATGTAATCTGTAGACACTGTGGATTTTGGGTGCTACACATTGTTCTCACCAGGTCCGATGAGGACTTTGATCATTTAGAGGGACCAGCTTTAGCCTTAATTTCAGTTTTTGATACTCACCTTTGTTTATATTTATATACAAGTTATACAATTTCATAAGTAAAAAATATACAGACTTGCATGGTGTATCTTTTATTGGGATGTTTTTTTTTTTTTTTTTTTTTTTTTTTTTTTATTTTTTTGCAATTTAAAAACAAAAAACTTAAAAATTTTATTTGGATTTTATGTGGGGAACCCACCCC